ATGAGAAGTTGAGTCCTCACAAACAGCCCCTCCCTCTGGTAGAACACACAAAATGACAACAAGAGGATTAGATTAAAAAAAAACTCAATGAGGCTGAGCACGTTTCCGTTACTACAATCATCCGGGGGTCACCAGAAATATGTGCCCTTCACAGTGGGAGACAGAGATGCTCTGGTTGACAAACTCCCAAGCATCTCTGCAGGAGGCAGATTGTGGCTTTCCAAACTAAGTGGTCTCACCAGTAGAATGTCCCTGGCCCTAGGAGATTTTAGAGCAATCCTGGGATGGTGTGTGATGCCCCTGGTGGCCAGAGAATTAGAAACAGTAGCACGCACCAGTAAACTGGGCAATGAGGTTCCACTGAGTTGAGTAATAACAGAGTTAGGACATGCAGTCAGAGACCAGTACCAATTATCCACTCCCCTAGCTATCCCTAAGTTTGAGTGGGAACCTCAAATCCACCCCAAAGATTATATTACCCTGGTGGCTGGAAAGTGGATGAGACACACACAACAGTAAATCCTAAAGGACCACCCTCTAATTTAACTGAATTATTTATAGAGGCAGTCCTGAAGGGAGTGCCCACATCTGTGGCAGAACTGATTAGACAGAATCCAGATCTTCCTGGGTGCAACTACGATAAGTGGGAAAGACATCTAATACACCACCTGCAAACAATACGAGAAGAACAAAAAAAGAAAAATAATGAGAAAGCTGAATTAGAAAATCAATTGCTTAAATTGCAGCTGCAGGAAGCTAGACAAAAAGCAACAAAGAAGAAGGAGAGGACAGAGAATGTGATGGTTGTAGCGGCTCCACAGCCGACGACTTCTCCTGCTGGGCACACTATACTAATCAATATCCTTGAGGAGTAGCCCCTGACAAGAACCGGTTTTGGATCAGCACAACAACACCAAATCCAAGTTTTAAAAGAGTTTATTGTTATAAAACAATCTCTGGTGGAGGTCTGGGTCCTGGGCTGGGTCCAATCTGTCAAGACAGAAGTGTTAGTGATTTTGGTCTGACTGAGGAGATTCAGAGAGATACTATGGTTTTCACTAACCTTCTGTCTTGATTGCGAGGCAGGAGCTTTAGTCACGCTGGAGCCGGTGATGTCACTCATGAAGAGTGAACTGCTACAGCAGAGCAGACGGAAGAGATTGTGATCCAGGCAAAACTAGGTCAGGAATGGGGAGGCAGAGATCAAGAGCCAAGGGTCAAATCCAAAATCCGTGATCGTGGTCCAAAAGGGGAAAGCGCAGAGTCAAATACCATGGTTTCTCAGTTTTGTCTTGTTTTTTTTCTTTCCGCAGGTCTAGATGCAGACTTCAATGATCTTGATCTGTCCAACTTTTTTCAGTCATGTCATCTGGACAGTTTCTTTATATGTGCTGAAACATTTTACCTTCAATCCGGAAGGCTTCATCAGTCAAGGAAACACACAACATAAACCGGGGGCGGTAAATAAGGCTTAAGGTGGGAAACGTGGAAAGTGGGGTGAACCTTGAGGGAGCGGGGCAACTGGAGGCATATGGCTACAGGGTTAATAAATGTAGTTATGGGGAAAGGTCTGATGAACTGGGGAGCCAACTTACAGGACTCCACCCGTAGGGGAAGGTCTATGGTGGAGAGTCAGACCTTGTGGCCCACTCAATACTCTGGTTGAGGGGACCGACATTTGTTGGCTCCCCTGACGTAGGTGGTGTTGGACTTGAGGAGGGCCCTTCTGGCCTTTATCCAGGTGCATTGGCACCGCATGGCTGTTTCATGGGCTGATGAGATGAGAGCCTCTCTCCCCTGGACGGAAAACAAGGGTGATTGAAAACCAAAAACAACATAAAACGGGGACAGACCTGAAGCAGATGAGGGAAGGGCATTGATGGCGTGCTCCACCCAGGGGAGATTGGATGACCATTTACTGGGGTCTCCCTCACAAAGCAGACGTAGCTCGGTCTCCACTTCCTGGTTAACCCTCTCAGATTGGCCATCGGACTGTGGGTGGAAACCTGAGGAAAGACTGATGGAGATGCCCAAGAGACTACAAAACTCCTTTCAAAACTTTGAGATAAATTGGGGCCCCTATCTGAAACAATATCATTGGGGATGCCGTGCAGTCTAAAAACTTCTCTGGCCATGATACTGCTTAGTTCTTTGGCGGAAGGGAGTTTGGGAAGAGGAACGAGGTGAACCATTTTGGAGAAATGGTCAACCACTGTGAGAATGACCGCATGACCAGAGGAGGGAGGTAGACCAGTGACAAAATCCATGGAGATGTGTGACCAGGGACGAGATGGGACGGGCAGAGGGTGAAGTAATCCTGCTGGAGGACGACATGATGACTTGGCTTGGTTACATGAAGAGCAAAACTTGACATACTCCTTAACATCCTTAGTCATGTAGGGAAACACCACCTTTGAACAGAGTTCACCTCATCTCAAAACAAACATCATTCATGTTTTTTTTTGTGTTTTAAACTGTTAAAATAAGATACATTTATTCCCTTGGGAATGAACAGACTTTATTTTACAGGTGTTAAACTCTGCTTACAAACTCCGTAGTGGCCACTTATCTAATGTAATGAAAACTGTCATTGTGTTAACTTCACTGCCAATATGACCTCATTTCCCACGAAACGGACAGATCGTCTCAATGAGAGCTGTGGTTCATTTTTGGCCTCGAAGTGAAACACCTGCCGAGGAGTTTACTCCCAGGATTTTCCCAAGGAGATAACAGTTTTTTAAAGAATCCTTTGTTTCAGGACATTCTCTTTTCAGGAGATGAACAGCGACACCTTTTTGACGAACATTGCATGTTTGCCACAGCTTCAGAACTGAATGTTTGTTATTGAAAATGTCTGTTTAAAGTAACCTCTCTAAGATAATCATGTTAATTTTTCTCCTTTTAAAAAGAAGTGTGACTTTTTAAAGGCAGACAGAGAAAATGGACTGTTATTTTATTTAAAATAACATGACAGAGTTAGAACCATCCCACTTCCGGGGGCGAGGTCCTAAGTCAATCTGTAACAAACAGACAGACACTTCATCTTCTACACGACTTCTACATAACACTTCTACATTACACTTCACTGCTCTTCCTAAATGAATGAACTTCGAGCAAACTTCAGAGAAGAATCTTCCTCCTAGTGAGACGTCCGGGAAGGAAACAACACCAGCAGAACCTGGCATTAGAGAAACCTGACCGAGCCAGAGACATCGCTGCAGAGTGATAAATCCCAGCTGACTTCAGAGCCAGTGGCCGGACCTTCGTCCCTCCAACGGTGATCGGTGACTTTTGAGGACACAATCTGCCTTTCAGTCACTGGAGCATCTCAGGCCTTGCTGGTATCATTTTAAGCAGTTGTGGAACATTCTGACCATCTCATTCTGGCAGGACAATAGAATTTAATGCCTTTCTGGTGATCATACATTCACAATAATGTTAATTTAGATACACCACAGTTAATTTAGACTATTTTAACTACACCCCATCAAACCAGTCCAAATTTCTGCCTTTTATAAAAAAAATACACTGAATTTAATAATTAAATAACCTTTGACACAAGGTAATTTTGTTATTAATTTGTGTATTAATTTTTATGAATAACCTTCATCAGATATATACATCAGAGTATTATTTTTGTAATAAAATACATAAAAATCCACTAAATTTGCAATTATTTTGACATATGTGTGTATTAATTGATTTAATGCCCTTTAAACACGAGCAAGAATTCACGTTTCAGTTACATTTAATTTGAGGGTTTTAGAGACTGATTTTCCTCTCCAAGAGGTGGTGCCCGCATAACAAGGTTATTTGCATAATAAATGCATATCTTATGAGCTTAACTCATAACTAATAAATTATATAGATATCCAACCACAAATCCCTCTACAGTCAGATCCTCCCACCAAAATTGTGATCTAACCACTCAGCCACAGCCGCCCATGTGTTCAGGTAACCATGATGTGTTCAGGTAATCAGGGTGTGTTCAGATAGTCAAGATGTGTTCAGATAGTCATGGTGCGTTCAGGTAGTTATTATGTGTTCAAGTAGCTATGATGTGTTCAGGTAGTCATGATGTGTTCAGGTAATCATCATGTGTTCATGTAGTTGTGATGTGTTCAGATAGTCGTGATGTGTTCATGTAGTTGTGATGTGTTCAGATAGTCGTGATGTGTTCAGGTATGATCCTGACTGTTAACATCCTGAGAACAAGCAGAAAACAAAGTTACAGTCAGCATCATACTCAGCTTCAACCAGATGTTTACATCTTTTTTATTTTTATTTATTTACGTCACTTCAACAACCTTCATAAATAAACTACCTTTTTAGTTTTTTAGTGTGCTTATAAAATGTTTTTATTTATTTTCATTTTTTAGATCAAAATAAATTAATTAGTTAACTTTTAATTTACAAAGTCATAATAGTGTTATCATATAGTTAAACAATAATTGCACAACAAACTCATTTATAAAGACACAATAAAAATAATGGAGAAAAACATTGTTTTGTTGTGACATAACATAAAAAGAAACATTAAAATATAACCCAATTTAATGTAAATAAATATTTTAATGAACCAAAATGTATGTAGTGTAATTTATATATACACGATGATAAATCTGACGTTATATGAGCCTCTCTAAACTTTAGAAAAAGTAGAATGTTTCATGAAAAACATGTTTTGGTTTATCTTCATGTTTGATGGACACGTCTACAAAATATTTATGTTCTTTAATGTACTTTCACACATTCTTAGATTTGCATTTTGCTGTAAGGAGGACAGGTGACTGTCATAAGAACAAAGACTTCAGGGTTTTATTTTGGACTCAGTAACCGGAAGTGGTCATCAGTAAAGTTTCAGTCTGCAGGAAAAGCAGACAGTCAGTCAGACCTCCTCCATCTGAGAGCTGCAAACCTTCAGAGCTCTTTATTCATTCAACCTTTCAAATCTTATGTTCATTCAAGAAAAGAAACAAATCTTGCGCAGAAACGAAAGGATGAACAAAGAAGGAGAGAAGAAGACCCGCAGCCAGAAACCAGCCCGGACCCAGCAGCATGTCCCGGTCCAGCAGGTCCACCAGAAGACCAAGTCTGTTAAAGATTCCCAGAGCGGCTCCTCCGTCAAGGACACCCACCAGTTGACTGGCGCAGAGGATCCCAGCCCAGCGGGACTGCAGAGGAGGCGAGCAGCCAAAGTGTCACCGGGTGGGGGCGGCTCGGAGGCCCAGAGGAGCCCCGCCGCGCGCAGGAAACTGTCGGACGCCAGCATCGCCTCGGAGGACCTGAGCAAAGACTCCGGCTGTCCGTCCGGGAAACTCTCCTCCTCGGACAGCAGCTCGGAGATCTCTGACTGCGCCTCGGAGGGCAGCAAGAGGGACTCCCCGAGCAGCGACTGCAGCTGGGTGGACGGCAGGGCGTACGAGGCCCCGAGCGCAGCTCCGTGCGTAAAACCAAGCGCGCCCTGCGCGCCGCAGCCAGCAGCCGCTGCTGGGGGCTTCGCTCTGATCAACCCCCCCGGAGCCTTCATGGAGCTCATGATGGAGGAGACGAGCCAGGAGCTGCTGAGAGAGGTGGAGGACCTGAGGTCAGAGAACGAGTACCTGAAGGTAGGACTGGAGTTAGTTAGGTTAGTTGAACATTTTGATGGGTTAGATTAGAGAATGACGTCATGTTTGTTGGTTTTATTCTTCAGAGCTCTCTGAGCCGATTAACCTTCTTCTTCAGGGCAGGAATAAAACACACCAAGAGTAGCTTTCATTGTTATTAATGTAGTTCTTGTTATAAGAATCACCTGCTTTAATATTTAACAAGTGACATCACAGGGTTTCAGTGGTGCAGCACACAAACAACAAGAATTGAAACCTTCTCTTTAGTGGGGGTAATCCTGAAATTTACTTTATTAACAAGGAAACAAAGTTTGCAGGTTGAAAGATGCAGCAAAATATTTGCTTGTATGAATCATGAGCGTGATGAACAAAATAAAATGTTTTACATCCAAATCTTCCACTGATCTCCATAGTGTAACCAAAAACTCTGAATCTCACGAAAATAACTCCTCCTGAAGATAACTCCTCCTGAAAATAACTCCTCCTGAAGATAACTCCTCCTGAAGATAACTCCTCCTGAAAATAACTCCTCCTGAAGATAACTCCTGAAAATAACTCCTCCTGAAGACAACTCCTCCTGAAGATAACTCCTCCTGAAAATAACTCCTCCTGAAAA